TGTGTATGTGTGTGTGTGTATGTGTGTGTGGAGTGGCAGTTCAGAGGGTGTAAGGTACACTTGCTTGTGTGTGTGAGGGGGAACACTTATATATGTGTGAGTGTCTGTGTGTAATGTGTGTGAGTGTGTATGTGTGCGTGTGTGAGGAGTGGTGGTTCAAGGGTGAGGGGGACACCTCTGTGTGTGTATGTGTTTATGTGTGAGGAGTGGCAGCTTAGAGGGTGTGGGAGACACTTGCTTGTGTGTGGGAAGGGGACACTCATATGTATGTGAGTGTGTGTGTGTGTATGTGAGGAGTGGTGCCTCAGAGGGTGATGGGGACAAGCATGTGTGTATGTGTTTGTGAATGTGTATGTGTGCGTGTGTGAGGAGAGGTAGCACCAAGGGTGAGAGGGATACTTGGCTCGTGTGTGTGTGTGGGGGGGATACTCAAGCATGTGTGTGAAGGGGGACAGACACTCCCATTTGTGTATATGTGTGTGTGTGTGTGTGTGTGTGTGTGTGTGTGAGCTCAGAAGGTAAGGGGAGGACACACGTTTTGTGTGTGTGTGTGTGTGTGTGTGTGTGTGTGTGTGTGTGTGTGTGTAGTGGTGCTGAGGATGACGGGAAAGTTTCTGTCTTGCTGAGCGACAGTGGTTCTTCCACTACCTGGAGGAAGATGTGGGACAGTGCTGCTCATTTGTGCGACAGGAAACTGTCATGTCTAGTAACTGCTGCCTTGGGGATCTTACGGGGTCTTCTGAGAGAAAGTAGAGGCTGTTGGTGAAAAGGCTCAGGGCTGTGGCGTGTGGGGTGGAAGTGGGGGCCTGGGGGCCTCTTCTCTTGACTTACCATAGTCTGGCTGAAGCACCATCCTTTCCCCTGTGCGTGAGGGGGGCTCCCTCCTGAGCCCACCAGAGTGAGTGCCGGGAGATGGGACACCTCTAAAGACAGCTGCCAGCACCCTGATCTTTGGGATCTCGGGGTCCTTGGGGGTCGCTGGCCTTTCAAGCCCTCCAACCACAGTAGGGGAAGAAGCCCAGGGGTGAGGGGGCATCAGAGACAGCCCAGAGCCAAGCTGCCCCAAGCCCTGCAGACACTGGCCACTGCCCAGGAAAGAGGGAACCTCGAACCTTCCATTCTCTTCCCTGTGCCATTTACAGTACCAGGGGCACGATACTCAGCTCCAGTCTCTCCTAAGTATCTAGACTTCTGGGCTTCCCTTCATTTTTGGGGATGGGGGTGGGGTGTGGTCCACACCAGCTGTGCCCAGGACTTCCTTGTGGTTCTGTGCTCAGGGAGTCACTCCTCGTGGTGCCTGGGGACGGTGTTCGGTGCTGGGGGGGATGGCACCAGGGCTGACCACGCACCAAGCAGGTGTCTTCCCCGCTGCACTGTCTCTGGGGCCCTTCTTTTCTTTGTTTTAAAAACCTGTTGCCAACAGTTTATAGCTACGCTCCGTGTCATGTCTGCGTCTGCAACCGAGCCCAGAGCTGGTGTTCACACTTGTCCTTACGCCTGGCAGCATCCCTCTCCCCCATTCTGCTGCCCCATCAGAGGGGGCATGGGGGGTGGGGGGAAATGTCTGTGAATCGACTTCAGGCCCCCACCCGATGGGGCTTGACCTGCAGCCTGCGTGTCATCTGTGTCATGGTCTGATCTGAGGTGCCTCTGGGGACCAGGCTAGTCTAGGAAGTCTGTGAATGGGGTTCATGTCAGAACAGCACCTTGGATTTTATTATTGGAAGACACTTGCAGCTCGTTGGCCTGTTTCATAAAGAAGTCTATGCTTTGGGGGCTGGAGTGATAGCACAGTGGATAAGGCGTTTGCCTTACACACAGCCAACATGGCCAACCCGGGTTCGATTCCCAGGATCCCATATGGTCCCCCGAGCACCGCCAGGAGTAATTCCTGAGCGTATGAGCCAGGAGTAACCCCTGAGCAATGCCAGGTGTGACCCAAAAAGCAAAAAAAAAAAAAAAAAAAGTCTATGCTTTGCCAGTTGTGCCATCACATTCTCCCCATCGAGTTTTTGTTTGGTTTCTGTTCTATGTCTCTGTATCTCTCTTCCCCTTGTGGGCTCCAAAGGAGTGCTCAGGGGGTCTAGCTGTGCACACCCGATGGGTCCATGTGTCAGCCAGACGCATTGTCGGTCACCTGCACCAGATTCGGGGGGGGGGGGTGCATGTGGGCAAGGTTTGTGGGGTGGGGGATTGAACCCGGCCTGTGCCCCGGCCTCTGCTCCATCTCCCTGGCCCGATTTGTGACTTTCCATAGCCACGTAGCTTCAGAGAACCGTTTTGAGGAAACCCCCGGTGCAGATCCAGTGAGAGGAATTCATACTGGACGCTACAGAGTGAGGGAGCGCTGGGAGGCCCTGGGGTGCCCAGGCTCTGGCCATGGGGTTGCCACAGGCGTCGCCCCCTAAATCTTCCCTGACTGCGTTCTGGGAATGCAGGCCAGGCTCAGTTGGGAAAAATTGAGAAACCTGTTACTTTGTTCAGAATCTACAGAATCACCCAGTTGGGACAGTACAAGGTCACTTTGAGAAGAGAAGCAAGTCAAAACAAAATGAATAGTGTCCTGACCAGTCTTATCCACGTGCCAACCTCACCCTTGGGTACCCCAGGCCTGCACCAGCTCCCCTGGTTCCCCCCCACCTCCCCACACCCCACACCCCACGCCCCAGTGGTCCGAGAGGAAGGGGACCGCCCAAGGGCATCACCGCCCTGTCCTTGTGGCTCCTTCCTAGGGGTGATGGTCAGAGTCAGTCCCGGGTTCTCGCAGTGTGTGAGCAGGGCTGGCCGACCCCGTGGTGTCACTCACCCCCGGCCCCAGGATGATGCCCGTCAGCCTCTCCCAGCTGATGATGCTGCCTGGGCATTTTTACGGAGGCTCCGGGATCTGTAGTCCTGTTCATCAGGCTTCTCATGCAGGCATCATTCCAGCACCACGCCCATCACCAGAGAGCCCACTGCCAGCCCCAGAACCCCTCCCCACCCCCACCTCCCACAGAAGCCCAGTTCTGTAGACAGAATCTCCAATTTCGATGACTCTGATCATTTGTCATTCCCTTGCAATATTTCTTTATAACCTTACATGTGAGAGACTTTTTGTTTTGCGTTTGGGCCACACCCAGTGGTGCTTGGGGCCTACTCCTGGCTCTTCTATGAGGGATCACTCCTTGCAGGGCTCAGAGGACCATATTTGGGGTCCCAGGACTTAAACCTGGGTTAGCAAGCATCTTCCCTACCCACTGTACTATCTCCCGGGTAGAGCCCCCGAGTCCCCAGCATGACCAAGTGTGGTTCAAAAACAGCCTCTCCTGGTAGTTGCCTGCAGTTACTCAGCCCTGGTCCTACTGCTTTGCCCACTCTTTGTCTTTGCCCACCCACCCTCCCTCCCTCCCTCCTGTGTTTAATATGGTCTAGATTTCATGAGAAGTAGTTTGTTTAATTTCTTATGGTACTGGGGCAGGGGCAAAGGGTGTCATTATTTGCATTAAATGGCTGGTTCCCATGTAGCCCTAATGGATGAGGCCCATGGGCCTTGATTCTAGTCTTATGTCCAGTGAGGCCTGTGGCCAGTTCGGCCAAAGGCTTTTCCCCCATCTATATCTATGGATCTTGCTTCCACATCGTTGTGATGTTTCTACCATGCTCTCCACGCTCTGCCCCTGCTTATCATGGGATTGATTTCTGACTTAAAAGAACACACACACACACACACACACAAACTCAGACACATACATGCATGCACACATAGCACCCCAAACTATGTGGAAACTTTCATGCATAGGAAAGCAGTCAGCCATGTACTCAGACATGTGGACTAATGGTTAGAGCCCCTGATTAACAATTGCCAACACTGTGTCAAGCTTATTTTAGAAAACATTGTTTTGTCCAGTATTTCTCAGTGTCAGTAGTTTCTGAATTCTATGATAATTTCCTGAGACTTTGTGCCCTGGTACTCTTCCCGGGCCCCTCTCTCCAGACCGGCTCCTTCAGTGACCTCTCACTTCCCACTCTGCACCCCCTACAAGTCTGACAAACTTCCCAAAAGGTTCTTGTACACAGTCAAGTAGGAGAATGTGACCTTAGCTAAATCTCTGTGCATGCTCAGGCCTCCTAGCCTCTTGAAATGCCTCAGGGCCCCCCCCCCCCCCAGAGTCTTGAGGTCCTGGGATGGGAGTGTGGAGCGAGGGCCCTGACCTGTCCTGACCTGCCTGACCTGCAGCCTGGTCAGTTCAGATAAGACCCAGGCTTCATCCTCAAAAGGCCTCTCTTAGCTTGATCAGTTTGCTGTGGGAAGGCAGCAGGGAATTTTATCAACCGTCATTTGAGTTCGGAGCTTCTCATTCATCTTGCCTTCAAACTCCAAAGTTTGGGGCCAGAGTGATACCACAGCGGGGAGAGCGTTTGTCTTGCACACGGCCATCCTGGGTTCGATACCTGGCATCCCATATGGTCCCCTGAGTGACACCAGGAGTAATTCCTGCGTGCAGAGCCAGGAGTAACCCGTAAGCATTCCCGAGTGTGACCCAAAAAGCAAAATAAATGAATACACTCAACAGTTTCATTTGGAACTCTACTGAAATAAGGTTAGAAGTCATTACATACAGTGTCTGTAATTCTTGCATGCTGGTACTGGATGTCTGTCCATCCTGGAGGAATCTAACAAATATAACACTTAGGACTTGCTTAGTAAAGAACTTGGAGGAGGGGCTGGAGTGATAGCACAGCGGGTAGGGCATTTGCCTTGCACACGGCCAATCTGGGTTGATCCCCGGCGTCCTATATGGTCCTCTGAGCACCACCAGGAGTAATTTCTGAGCGCAGAACCAGGAGCAACCCCTGAGCATCATCCCCCCCCCAAAAAAAAGAACTTGGAGGAATGCACATAAATGACCACTCACCCTTTGAAGCCCCTCTCCCCGCCCCCAGTCCCCCAGCTCTCCAGTGTGTGCGATAAGAGGTTCTTCTCATTGACTCGGTCTTTCTTGTTTTGTGTTGTTTTCCAGATCTGGACGGAAAGCTTTTGAAGAAGTAGAAGAGTGAGTGTCGGTCTTCTCGCCACATCCCTGGGTCACCTTGGTCACGGTGCAGTTCGATCTCTGTTGCATGATTCTGGCTGTGACCTGGGGCTGGCGTCAGTTGTAGGAATCAAGGGGCTGACTAATGCTGTGGCCTCGGTCGAAGGCCCTGGCACTGGCACAGCTGCCCATGTCCCATCTCCCGCCCTGTGTGTTTTAGAACTGTCTGTCCCAGTGTCAGGGCATGGAGCCATGGTTCTACTGTCGTGACATGTGGGCAGAAGTAATGCCAGCTTCTAAGCTTAGCTTCCTCCTAAGGTATCTATTGAAGGAAAGATGGTATGTAGGCAGTCTTAAGACAGGGCCAGCCCATTTCCGAGCTTTGGAAGTCGAGGAAACATTCATGTCCGAAGCCTATGGGGCTGCCATGCAGGACAGTGTATAGCCTGTGCAACCAGATGTGGCCGACTCAGCTGGGTGGTTAGATTTGACTGAGCTTGTAGAGAAAACTGGGCTCCGAGACCTTTGCACTTAGAAGGAGAGAGTGGTCACAATGAAAGCTGGGGTTCCCTCTTTCCGTGTTTGAAATTTATTGTCTGCTTCACTTTCCTTCCCTTGGGTGCAGTCAGCGACTCAAAGAGCAGAGCCTGGACAGATCCGATGATGGAGGTAAGGGACCTTCCAGATACACCCCAGAGCACACAGCCCTACCTGCTATGCTATTGTTCCAGCCCCCTCTCTCTTTTTTTTTTTTAATTTTTAAAATTTGTTTTTGGGGAGCTGGAGCAATAGTACAAGAGGTAGGGTGTTTGCCTTGCATGTGACCAACCCGGGTTCGATTCCCAGCATCCCATATGGTCCCCCGAGCACTGCCAGGAGTAATTCCTGAGTGCATGAGCCAGGAGTAACCCATGTGCATTGCCGGGTATAACCCAAAAAGCATAAATAAATAAATAAATAAATAAATAAAATTGTTTTGGGTACCACACCCATCTGTACCCAGGGATCATTCCTGGTGGGGCTCGAGGGGCATCATCATAGAAGGTGCCGGGGATTGAACCTGGGTCAGCCATGTGGAAGGTGAGCACCCGCCCCGCTGTGCTGTCACTCTGGCTCCTGTCATACCGTTTCCTCTCGCCCAGTGCCGTTGTGTCCGCCTTTGTCCCATCTGGAATCCCGGTCCTCCTGCCCATGATACTCGAGCCAGTGTGTTTATGGAGCAGGGTTTCTGGCGTCAGATTCTCTCAGTCCTGCATGTCTGAAAATGTCTCTACCCATAGTGACGTTTGTGCTGATGACACTTTTTTGATAGCACAGCGGTAGGGCGTTTGCCTTGCACGCAGCCAACATGGCCGACCCGAGTTCGATTCCTCCGCCCCTCTCGGAGAGCCCGGCAAGCTACCGAGAGTATTCGATATGCCAGACACAGTAACAACAAAGTCTCCAATGGAGACGTTACTGGGCCCGCTCGAGCAAATCGATGATCAACGGGAGGGCCTTTACTTTACTTTACTTTTTTTTTTTTTTTTATTTATTAGTGAAACACCATGAGGTACAGTTTTAGACTTAAAAACTTTCTGCTTGAGTTTCAGTTTTTTGTTTGTTTGTTTGTTTGTTTAGGACCTACCAGCAGTGCTCAGGAGGTTCAGGGAGTCCCACCAGTGAGTCTCCGCCAACAAGGCCGTTTGTTCAGTGCAAGGGCCCGAGGATGCAGTGCTGCTCAGGGCCTGCAGTTCGGGGGATACCCGGGCCACCCCAGCAGTGCTACAGGCCTCTGGGGTCCCACCGGGTGGTCCTGAGGCTCTCTAGGACAGCACCTGGCAAATGCTCTGGGGGCCACATGGTGCTGGGAATTGAACCTGGGTTGGTTCTAACTCCCAGTCTGCTTTTGTTTTCTGTCTGACATTTTATTTACTTGTTTCCTTGTGTTGTTTCAATGAAAAGTTCATAGTCGTTCTCAACTTTGCTCTCCTGCATATGCTAACTCTTCCCCACCATGGTATATTTAGAGTATATAACATATATAACATATAACATATGACAAATATAACAGTATTTCTGGGGCTGGGATTTGAAGGGGCCTCAAGTGTGTGAAGCATGAGTTCTGCCATGGAGCTACATTTCCAGCTACGCCCCACCCCGCTCCGGGGCTGCCTTTAAGATTTAGTTTCCTCTGTCAGTCACTTTCAGTAGTTTGGTTGTGATCAGCCTTGGCTTGGTTTACTTTGTGTTTGTCCTGCTTATTAACCTTCTTCAGTCTATGGATTCATCATTTTCATCAGATTTGCAAACTGTTGGCTGTTATTTCTTTAAATTTATGTGTGTGTTTTCTTCTCTCCCTTTTATGGGTACTGTGGATTTATACTGGTTGAAATTGTCACGGGCTGGAGCGATAGCACAGCGGTAGGAAGTTTGCCTTGCACGCAGCCAGCCTGGCCAAGCCGGGTTCAATTCCTCCGCCCCTCTCAGAGAGCCTGGCAAGCTACCAAGAGTACCTGTGATGTATTCAATATGACAAAAACAGTAACGACAAGTCTCAAAAAAATGGAGACATTACTGGGCTCGCTCAAGCAAATCGATGAACAACGGAGGACAGTGTTTGTTTTGTGAAATTGTCACGCAGAGGACTGAAGCTGGGTTTTGTTTGGTTCCCAGTCCATTCTGAATTGTGCTTCACTTTGGGGGAGTTTTTCTTGTAATGTAAAGCTCTTTTATTGCCATGTGAAGATCTTGTCTCCTCTAACATATAATCTGTATTTGGTAGTTTGTACTTGCTACTCAGTCGAACCATTTTGAAGGTTGTTCTTCAGCCGTAGTAGAGCAAGTCTTGAGTTCACCCTGAGCATCCAGCGCCCCCCACCCACCACAACCACCATGTCTGCTCGGGGCCACACTGTAACTCAGGGTCTTCCCCAGGCCACTTAGCCTTTTTGGCTTCTCCACGAGCACTACTACCGTTTGCCTCACACTCTCCGGGCCATCACTCTCCCATTCTTGTGGCGCCAGGCCTGGCTCTGGTTCTCAGTCCGGATTTCAGGCCTTCTATTGCTGCTCTCCTCCCCTGCCCCCTTAGCCTCCCTGCTTGGGACTTCCATCTCCATCACATGTCATAGTTGGGCGCCCGCATTCCGTGCCTGTGTACGGGAACTAGCACTGTGCAGGGTCCAGTGACTTGGCTGGGCCCCTTCACCCTAGGCGTCACTGCCCCGTGCTTCCTGCTGTCCCCATCTGGGAGCAAAGACACCTCCGGTGTTCTGACTGCCCACAGCAGGAAGACGAGCGGCTGTCTCAGGGCCAGATGCGGAGGGCCGGCGCCTTCGTTCGCCAGCTCTTGTGTGCGGCTGCAAGGTGAAGGAGGAAATTCAAGTTCACGAAAGTCAGACAGTTCCCTGTGCTTTGGCACCTCACAGAATTTGGGCAAGGGTCATTGTAGGACATTTGTGAAGCCCGGCGAGGAGGGGTGGAGGACACAGGGAATGAAGGCTAAAATGCAGATTCCCCGATAGCCACAAATCAGAAGCTGGAGTGGGGGCCCAGGGATTAATTTCAATTAATGTGCGTTAATTTAGCCATGCTCCCTGGGCGGGCATTTTGCACACCGAACGCCAGGATAGAAAGGCAGGGGTCATGAAAAAGAACCCCTCTGCTTCGTCTCTTTCCAGAGGGGTTTCGAGGGAGAAAGGAATTCAGGCATTAGACTTGAGCACGGGCTGAGCCTGCGCTCACCATTCTTCACCACTTCTCTTGGCTTTCCCCAGTATCTCCTCTCGAAGACTCATTTCTTTTTACCAGACATTTCTCCTTGGAACCCGTCAGTGAGCGCCTGTTCACTGACAGACTCCTGATTCCTGGGGCCGGCCTTTCTCCTACCGCATCTGAGTTTCCAGACAGGAGTCTTGGATGTCTTTAGGGCTAAACTGGTGTTCATGGTTGCTCATGAGTGGGGTCGCTGACCACACTTTGAGCCTGCCTGCCCTCCCCAATGTTGTTTCAGCCACCGGTGACATAAATAAATAAATAAACCGCAAGGTGGCTGTCTGCTGGGATGCACAGGGGATTCACAGGGCAGGGCCACCCCGCCATGCAGTATCAGGCTCTTGGGTGGTTAAGGAGCCTGGGTGCAACATAGACTGGCACACATTCAAAACAACAAAAGCAACCAGTGCTGGCATGGATGTGGGAGAAAAGGGACACTCTTTCACTGTTGGTGGGAATGCCCACAAGTTCAGCCTTTCTGGAAAACAATATAGGCAGTTCTTCAAAAACTAGAAATTGAGCTTCCATATGATCCCATAATACCACTTCTCGGAATATATCCCAAGGATCCAAAAAAGCACAGTAGAAATGACATGTGTACCTATATGTTCATTACAGCACTGTTCACAATAGCCAAAATCTGGAAGCAACCCAAGTGCCCTAGAACAAATGACTGGTTAAAGAAGCTTTGGTACATCTGCACAATGGAATACTATGCAGCTGTCAGGAGAGATGAAGTCATAAACTTTGTTTATAAATGAATAGACATGGAGAGTTCATGCTGAGTGAAATGAGTCAGAAAGAGAGGGACAGAGATAGAAGGACTGCACTCATCTGTGGAATATAAAGCAATATAACATGAGGCTGACACCTAAGGATAGTAGATATACGGGCCAGGAAGATTGCTCCATAACTGGAAGCCTGTCTCATGAGCGAAGGGGAGAAGACAGCTGAGATAGAGAAGGGATCACTAAGAAAATGATGGCTTGAGGAACCGGTCGGGATGGGAGACGTGTGCCGAAAGCAGATAAAGGACCAAACATGATGGCCTCTCGGTGTCTGTATTGCAAACCATATTGCCCAGAAGTAGAGAGAGATTATGGGGAAATCATATCTGCCATGGAGGAAGAAGGAGGCTGGGAAAGTGGGGGGTATACCGGGGATATCGGTGGTGGGGAATGTGCACTGGTGGAGGGGTGGGTGTTTGATCATTGTGTGATTGTAACCCAAACATGAAAGCTTGTAACTATCTCACAGTAATTCAATAAAATAAAATAAAATAAAAAAGGAGTCTTGGTGCAGTTTGTAATGCTGCCAGTGAGGCGCTTACTCCAGTCACCATCTTTTGGATTTGGTCAAGCTCACCTTCCCCTCTGGGCCTCGTCGTCCCATGCTGCCTTGGACCAGACTCTGGCGTACTGCTCCTGTCTTTCCCTGTGTGTGGGAAACTGCTGCGTCCCAGGGAGTGACTGTTGAATGTCACAGCGCCCGTGCCTCCTGTGTGTGCCTTCTTACACAGCTGTGTTGGCCGCCGTCACAGCACCCGGTGTTAGACCCGAGTTGTCTTATCTACTCGTGCACTGGAAATTGGGACTTGGGGTTTAGTATACAGGATCCTGGGACTGTCTGAGGAGCTCAGGCTTCCTGACCCACAAGCCAGCAGTCTGCCCTCATCCACAAGTACCCCCCGCTCGTGACTCACTCGTCCCACGTTCCTGCTGTGAAGCTTAGCCTTGTGCCTTTTTTCCCCATTGAATTTTGAAAATACGTTTATGGCAGCCCCTTTGTGGGAGCCACACCCAGCTGTTCCCACAGCTTACCCCTGGTTCTGTGCTCAGGGATCACTCCTGGCGGGGCTTAAGGGAACCATATGTGGTGCCAGGGATCAAATCTGGGTCAGTCTTTTGCAAAGC